AAGGCCCGAAACGTCAGCCTTCCTGCTCCTCTGATGCTGCTTGGCCTGCTGTGTTCATCCAGCTCTACACCTCGTTATCTCAGATTCTCCAGCATCTGCAGTTCCTACTATCTCTCCAACTCTGTAAAGCAGTGGCTTACACTATTGCTTACCTCGATTGTGCTGGAGCAGGACGATGGTAGGATTCACAAAGGTGGTGGAAGGGTAGGCTGAAAGCCTGCTAGATGAGACAAGGCCAGGATGTGACTCCAGACTCGCACAAGGCAATTCTCCTTCACTTATTGTGGACTGAACATCCTTCCAGACAAGAGAACAGTAGTTTATTAATGAGACACTCTCCAGGGTCAATCTTACAGATTAGTTCAGGGAAACCCATATTCAGCACACTGTGATCACCCACTTCTCTAATCTCCAATCATTTGACCATAAGAATCTTTGGCCTCTACCCCAGCACACATCCAAAGTCTCCTGTACCCTGTCTTTCCCACAGAGAAGCAACAACTCGGCAGGGAGCATCTAGTATCTGTGGGTTCTAGTGTTAATGTGGCAAAAAAAAAACTCCACTCGTATCTAAAGAAGCAAAGGAGGCCATTCAGCCCATGTGTCAGTACTACCTCTTTCAAAGACCTATCCAATTTATCCAGTTCTGAGGAAGGGTCACCGCACCCAAAACGTTAACTCTGATCTTTTTCCCTCACAGATGCTGCCAGACCTGCTGAGCTTTTCCAGCAACTTTGTTTTTGTTCCGGATTTACAGCATCCGCAGTTCTTTCAGTTTCTATTCAATTTATTCCTGACCTTACTCCATTTCCCTCAAAAGATCCCCTTTCCTAAACTGTGCAGCCAGTTCTCTTTTGAAAAATTTCCTACTGAATCTGCCTCCATCTCCCTTTCCAACCGCATGTTCCAGATCACAACTCCTTGCTGTGGAACGATTTCTCCTCAGCTGGCTTCTGATTGTATTGATCACATCCCGTGAACAAATAAAAAAGCGCTACCTTAGGCCCAGTGAAGAGGTCACAGAGCAGAAGGAGATCACAGGGTCTACTGAACCAAAGCCCAGTAAGATGGGATTGGGCAAGGTCTCCTCACGGTCACACTGTCCCAACAGTTCACCCTCAACATCCACCAACAGGGCAGACAGCCTCAATGGAGTCTTCCTGTGCCTCGTTCCCCCTCCATTAGCCCACGAGGAGATGCTAATGTCGCATATAGCCACTTGGCACAATGTTCTCTGAAGACCAGGAGACTCAGAGAGTATGTGTCTGCTCACCCATGCAGCTCCAACACCATACCGGACCTCCATGTTTCAACACTGCTTCAATGTGAAACAACATCGAGAATAACATTTTTAAACTGGAGCACACCGCAAATCATTCCCTTCCCGTTGACTGGATGATAATCAGCTCAGCCACTTCTTACAGGATCGGGCAACATGTTAAACACACTTCTGACTACTTCAGGAGGTTTTGTTAAGCTCTGCCAAGCAACAAATTAATGAAACGTCAGCCAAGACGTGCAGGAAATGCTTGCATTTGGAGTCCCAGTATCGGAAACCAGATTTCCCTCATTCCCTACATTACGTTAAAAGATGCCCAAACCTGACTCCTGTCTCCAAATGGGTCTGTGCACTCACACTCACTCAGAGCAGTTAAACATGCAGCGTGCGTGAAAGTCACAATGACAAGTCCAGCAGGGCTAATGGAGGGATCGCCAGCTACACAGATCATGCCTGGCAAGTGCCCGAATCAGTCAGAATGCTGGAGACAAAGGAAGAGACAGGGGCTTTTCTCGGAAGAGATAGTAAGAACTGCAGATACTAGAGTCGGAGATAACACAGCGTGGAGCTGGAGGAACACAGCAGGTCCGAAACGTCAACTTTCCTGCCCCTCTGATACTGCCTGGCCTGCTGTGCTCCTCCAGCTCCACACTGTTACCACTTTCTTCAGAAGAACGTGTTAAATTGAGACGGGGTGGTTGATTAACTGAGAACTGCTCACAAACAATTGGCAGGAGTCCTATTTCACTGAGCAGTGATAATCTAAGGGGCCGATTCTCGGCAAGCAGCATAGAACACTGAGCTACGACCACAGCTACACTCTACAGAAACGGAGCAACAACCAGTTAAATCGACAGAGGCACGGGGTTGAAGGGGGTATTGCTAAAGGGAGAGGGGAAAGGCTGTGAGGAAAGGCAGGGAAGAAATTAACTTGAGCTAGAGGCGGGCCTTACTGTGTGTGGGGGGTGTCCGGTGAGCTGGGAGTCCAGGACGCTGTGCAGCTTGGTGGTGGGTGGTAGCAGCAATGGTGCTGGTGAGTTAATAGGGGTGGTGGAGGAGGCACACACAGTGTGGGAAACCCCTTTCTGCAGGTGAGGGGGGATGAAGTCGTCGAGCGTTGGCAGGGTCAAAGGTGCAGCGGCAGGATGAGATGGCGGGGATGGCGAGACTGGTTCAGCTGAAGCTTGGGCCGTGCACACGCCTTCCTCCCTCTCCCAAACTGCCTTAGGGGAAAATCCGCTGGATGAGACTATCACCTCAGGTTGAGCAATGCCAGCAGACACATCCTGCAGGGAGAGACGTTTCATTACTTAGAGACACCGCCGCACCGGTTCATTGGCCATTCGCAATAACAACAACACTGTCACAGAGCAGCAAGGCAGTGACAAACACAACAGGCTCTTCATGCAACACTCTTGTCTCGGAGTTTTCAACGGAGCCCGTCTCACCCTGAATACACACCCAAAAACAATGATCTCCTCACACTCACACACACACACACGCACCACAGTTAAGGGTAATACAAACTCAACGTTAGAAAACTTGTGCAGAATCTGTGTAAACCATGCTAAATCTGAAATGACTCCCAGTGGTTACACCCCTGCTCTGGGACAGTGGGGGAGGGATCACGCACTGACTTTTCCCGGTGCATGACAGTGGGGTTAGGTGTGGGTGTGGGTGTCCCCGTCCCACAGTGACCTTTCCCGGTCTGGGACGGTGGAATTGGGTGTGTGTCTGTGCACGGACTTTTCCTGGCCTGGGACAGTGGCGTTGGGGGTGGTATGTGTGCCTGTGCGTCCCACACTGACCTTTCCTCCTCTCGGACAGCTGGAGGTCTCACACTGAACTTTTACCCCCAGGACAGTGAGTGTTCACACTCTGACCTCTCCCACTCTGGGACAGAGACTACAGACCCACAGGAAGGCTTTGAGATGACAGGTTTTTTTAATTTTACTATGATCTTTCTGTTCATTTGTCCCCATGTTAAAAGCCATCAATTTATCGTCTGTGAACATCACTATGACGTGGTCAAGTGATGAGTCTCAACACAGTGGAGACAGGGGAAATGCTAGACAGCTATTCCACTATGATAGGAGGCACCAGCATCTACACAAAGTCATATAATGCTGGAGGTTTTGAGAAGGAGAGAGAGGGAGGGAGGGAGGGATGGAGGCGGGGGGAAAAAGAGAGAGCGAGTGCAAGAGAGATTTAACTGGGAAAACTTTTCACCCTCCAAACGTTGACAGCGGTTCTCATCTAAAAGACCCTGGGCTGTGACAGGCTACACTTGTTCCAATACACACACTGTTACAGAAATCAGTTTTTGATGCAAAATCAAACCAAAGGAACAAATAAAAAGCAAAGACAGAAAACTGCTTCATGAAACAAGGTTGACAGGCACCCCACTGGAACAAGCAGAGAAACTGGTGGGGGAAGAGGGAGGGTAAAGGGTGAAATGTGTATATTGAGGAGTCGGCAGACAACCAGGAGGAGTGCTGTGTGAGAACTGGTGAGGGAGTGACAGGGAGAGAGAGAGAGTGAGAGAGAGAGACAGTGAAAGTACAATAGATACCACACTGGAGGTGTCGGCCCTTTGAGGGGGACTCTGGTGGGTGGTGGGATGTGCCTGTCTGTCTGGTCTCAGACTGTCCATGCCGGACGCTTGTTCCTGATCCAGCGCTGCGCTCCCGGGCTGCAATCGAGGCTCTGAGAGCGAGTCGTCAGTCTGGGCACCGCCAATCTTGACCCTAGGCAAGAAAACCTGAAGCGATGGTTTGCAGGGAACCAGTGGGGGAGAATCAGCGGTGGCTGGCACAAGCAGCTGGGCTCCGGTGGCTGGTGCAGCGGGCATATCCGCTTCCTCAGGTGCATCGCAGGTGCTGTCCCTGGATGACCGAGAGCTAGTGCTTCTGGACAAACAGGGTACGTACAGATTGCTGACCTTTCTCCCTGGGACAGAACCCCTGGCAGCAGGGCCAGCACACCAACTGGCAGACTGGAGGGTAGCTTCAGATTCCAATACCCAGTCCTGCGGTGAGGGGTTGCTGTGAGCAACAGGCTGGACGACATGCAGCGTTACCTTGGCTGAGCAAATGGTGGACTTTGATTTGGCATTAGAGCCTGTGGAAGAGGGGTCCTCAATGTAAACGTTAGGCAGTGCAGAATGTTTCTGTGTGGGCAGCTGCTCCGGTCTAATAGGGACATATTCCAGAATAGGGACTGGTGCAAAATAAGATGGCTTAACCTTGTTCGGTGGACGCCATGCAAAGCTCTCTTCCTTAGGGGTTGGGGGGATAGGAGGTGGCTATATGTATGTTTATTTTGACAAAATCAAAATGGAGCATCAATGACAAAACAGAAAAAGAGAAGTTTAAAATAAACACAGAGGTACTGAACCATAGGAAAAATGTTCTTCATTTAAACAGTTACTGAATTGCAACTTCCCACCTCTCAAATCAACTTCCCCAGGACTCACAACCCTAGTTTTGCTTTGGAAAAAAAAAAAGTTCTCCCTTGTGTTTAGAAAAGACATTGTTATTCCTCCATAAACTCACCCCACCACCCCAGTTGCTAACCTGCGACCTTCCAGGATTTCGAAGCTTCCCCTAATTCCAACCACTCGCACTTGCCCCACGGTAAGGCTCCCTCATCCACAGATGTGCCTTCAGCTGCTGAGGACTTAAGCTCTGGAAATCCCTCCCTGAACCTCTCCAACCTTGAAGGAGTGCCTTTAAAGCCTACCTACTCACATTACCGCTCCTAAACTCTCTTTAGGTGGGCTAGTCTCAATTTCGGTTCATAGAATCTCTACAGTGTGTAAAGAGATCATTTGGCCCATCGAGTCCACGCCGACCCTCCAAAGAGCATTGCACCCAAGCCCACCCTATTCCAATAACCCCACATTTCCCATGGCTAATCCACCTAGTTTGCAATTCCCTGAAAACTATGGACAATCCACCTAACCTGCACATCTTTGGCTGTGGGAGGAAACTGGAGCACCCGGAGGAAACCCATGCAGGCACAGGAGAATGTACAAACACCACACAGTCGCCCGAGACCGGAATCAAGCCCGAGTCCCTGGCGCCGTGAGGCGTCGGTGCTAACCACTGAGCCACCGTGCCACCCAGTCTTTGCTGTGCCAAATGTCCTGTCGCTGGTCCTATAGCTCTGTCCAAAAACAACTGCTTGACAGGTCGATTTTCTGACTCAAATAACCCTAAGGAGTAAGATGATCAGTACCTGAAGTTGTGGTTTGTAATCGGTTGGCAGATGTGGCCGCACACTGCGAAATCCTTTAGCTGCCAGCGAGGATGACGTGGCATCTCCATTTGTGTCGCCAGCTGAAGGTGGCATCCAACTATCTGCAGCTTTTAAAATGGAGCAGGACAGATACGGAGAGAGTCAGAACAACTAACCACACTCATCGCAAAGAGGAACCAGAAGAAGGAAATCTCTGCTCTTTCCTACCTGTCTTTGAACTTGGCAGCTCAGGGCCTGTATTTTTCGTGAAGGGTAATCAAACGAAAGAAGAACACAAGAGAAAGAGAGTGTTACTCTCACAGCATCCAGCCTCTCGACAGAATGAATCACAACAAGACACTTCACATCCAAGACAAAATCTTTTCTGTGGGTGCCTGCTCGTACTGGGCTGTTGGTTACCACAGCAACTCATTCTAAACACATGCCCTTGCAATTTTTGACTCCTGCTCATACAATGTAGTATTGATCTTCCGAAATGAAGACAGCTATTGTTCCTCAGCTTCATCATTCAGTAGCCGAGACAAAAATAAAGGCAAAAAAATCCAATTAATTCTCGCCGTCCTTGGTCAGCTTGGGGCTCAGCAAGTTGTGAAATACCACAAATAACTCTGAATTCAGAGTCAAACTTTCCACACGGCCACGTAGGCAGAGAGGCAACAAAGCCATGCTTTCAAATGTATTTGTTCAGCTTCTCATGAAGGCAGATCAAAAGCAGGAAGGCAACAAGAGAGTACCAGCAATTTGAAACATTTGCTTTAAAATACTGGTCAATGCAAATGAGCACATCTCATCAACAGTACAAATTTGACAAAACAGGAAGGTGCCCGTTTTGTAATGCAGCAACCTGACGCGTAGCTGAGTCTCTTTCCTGAGACAAAGTGTTTGGCCCCAGCCTCTCCTGTGCATCTCCAAGTACCATTTCACTTCGGGGATAAAACCTCTCCCTACCCAGTACATCGGGCAGTTCTGGGACTAACCATTTTGGGCTGTGTGTCTCTATACTATATAAAATGCAAATGACATCTCCGAGATACTTCTAAATTTAAATGTGAAAGGGCGGGAGGAATGTAAACCAATCAGACGACAAATAGTACTGAAAAACAACTTCAGCACCAAAAGCTGACAAGACCTCAGGTCCCAATGGATGTCATCATTGAATCCTTAAAGTTGTGGCAGCAGCGATAGTAGATGCGTTGGTACTGAGCAAGGGCGGGGGGATGCAGAGCGCGCAAGGGGAGGGAGATAGCAAGAGAAAAATCCACCAAAGGTTCTACCTCCTGATCCTGTCCATTGATCCTTGGGTTACAGACAGCAAGAGAGTGAGCAGCAGCTTAATACTCAGCATCTAAACTTTAGGAAATGTCTATCTACAACTGCATGACAACAGAAACCAGGATTCTAAGCAATTTAAAACAGACTAGTGAAGCTTCAGATTTATATTTAGAAAAACCACAGTCCTTACTGGTCGATTGTCGGGAATCTTCAATGAGTGGCAAGTCAGCTTCTGGAGGTTCCACACACCCAGAGGTTATTCGCATCGTTACGGACCCCTTGCCCACACTGATTTTTGACCGATCTGTTTCTGCAGGGTCAGACAAAGTAAGGTTATAAACTGTTCACAATCAAATCAGTTTCATTCTGAAACATACGTATTCACATTCTCAGAAGGAAAGCTCCTCACCAGGAAATCTGTGGGAAATAGCGCTCAGGAAAAATAGTTATATTGCTTGAAATGGTGTGTTTTAGCAAATGAACCCCAGCCCAGGGGCAGCACAGGATAGGATGCTGAACCTGTTGGCTTTATTGTTGAGATACAGTCATGGTGGCAGAAGGTTGTACAATTAAACAGTTATTGTCCAAAATTATATCACAACTGTCTAGAAATAATTCAGATGGATCACATCAGGTGGAAGTTCTACTCTGACTGCTGGTGGTGTTAAATTGTTGTGTAACACACTGAAAGGGCTCCTGAAAGAGTTCATGGTCTGGGAGACAAAGTAACACCACCCACCGTGATTCTCTCCCAACTGCCCAAGCCCATCCACCGTCTACAAGGCATAAGTCAGGAGTGTAATGGAACGCTCCCCACTTGCCTGGATGGGTGCAGCTCTAACAACACAATAAAATCATCATCATCCAGGATAAAGCAGCCTGCTTGATTGGCACTACATCCATGAACATTCACTCCCTCCACCATCCATGTTCAGTAGCAGCAGTGCATACCATCTACAAGAAGCAGTGGAGAAATTCACCAAGACTCCTTAGACTGCATCTTCCAAATCCACAACCACTGCCATCTAGAAGGATGCTGCCAGTGATATATGGGAACACCACCACCTCCAAGTTCCCCACCATCCTGACTTGTTTTGCCTTTCCTACACAGTCACTGGGTCAAAATCTTGGAATTCCCTCCTTAAGGACATTGGTGGTCTACCTACAGGGTCTGCTGTGGTTCAGGAAGCCTGCTCCTTACTGCCT